TTAAACAAATTTTGTTTAAAAATTTAGACTTTTGATAGATTAGGTCCCCCTGATTATATTTAAGGGCAAGAAAGCTCTTCAATGCTCTTCATGATTGCATCATAAATTTTCCGCAAATCATACCATGCATTGTCTTAATCGGGGTACAAGTTGACAAATGTTTTCACAAATGTTCGCTATCACAATGACCAGGTTACATAAAATAAAACAAACATCCAGTGTTGTAATCGAAGTAGCCAATCACCCAATACAGATTATTCACCGCAAAGCTGACTCATTTCGATTACGTAGATAACTTTATATTTCTACTCGTATCTCGTATACCTACCGTGTTTTTACATGACTGTGAGGGTATCCAATAACGCGGCTCGTGCGAGTTAGTCATACATAAAGCATAATTAAGAGAAATCTGATTAGATTAAAAAACATGCGTGTAATAACTATTATATTAATCAAAACAACTGAACCTTGTTAACTGTTCAATTTAAATTAGCATAAAAACTTTAATGCATATAATATTAGCTGATAGTGCGGTAGCGGTGTAAGAATATCCACTATCATACAATACTATAATACACAACACAATTGAATGGCTGTCAACTTTATTTTGTACGAGACTTGGCGTCGCCAAACCCGATTCGTTGTGTTGACACACAGAATAAATTTACACATTTTAGGCTTTTGATTAATGTTCAAGATCATTATTAAAGAAATCGTTTAAATTTAATACATATTTATTTGTAAATAGGGTGCAATTTCGCATTTTCTATATAATCTGCACGCGAAATTTGGAAACGATTGTAACGTCAAAACACATCGCGTGTTGACATTTATACGTGTGAATTGACGTGTTAGTGACATTTTAGTGGCTGCGCGGGCTCCGCCCACTCCCCCGTTCTATTAAGTATGTATTATAGTATTCTATGTCCACTACAAAAATGAAACGATATGTATATTTTTATAACAACTCAAAAGACACGAGACTGGCGGTTGCCAACGCGCTGGAGGCCTATGTCCAGCAGTGGACTTTCAAAGGATGCAATTGATGGTGGATGGACAATAGCTGGCCCGGGAGACGTTAATCTGCCATTTCGTGTAAGGGAATCCACTAACCCATACAATCCTTGTAGCTGTTCATCAGCTGCAGCAGCTTCGTGATAACTAAGTACCGAAAATAATAAATACCTGCGCCTTCAACCTGTCTGCCAAGCGTGGCAACTATGGCAAATATCATCCCCGCTATGCGGTGTTCAAAGGGGCCCGTCATCGATCACTAATAAAGAGATCAATGGGGCCCGTACACTCCTGATAGGTTTTAATGAATCAATTTAGAAACGCAATCCTCTGGAATCTATTCAAGAAAACCCTTCAAAAAAGGGAATTCCATCTTAATCCTCATGGGTCTACGTTTTGATTCTCAATGGGGGATAAATGTAGATGTCTATGGGCCATAGCATCTACTTGCCATCAGGTGGACTGTGTGCTCGTTTATCACCCTCATTCTATAAATAAAAACAATAAGCCAGAAAGAACTCAACTCAGTCGTCGAAAGTTCGGGCCGCGCTTCGCTGTTGCAGTCACGCGGAGTGGACCGGCACCGGGATGCCCTGTCGCAAGAGATGGGATGGTGTAATATATAAATCAATGGTGATGATGAAACAGTATTACACGTGACGGCGAGCTGTAGCGGCTTGTAAAGTTAAAGAATCCAATACTGTAATAACATCCCGCAGGTTTTGTAAGAAGCAAAAGAGGGTAACTGTAACAGGAGATGGCCAAAAAAAAAAACTAAAAAAGGCCGTTTTTAGTTTCATTTTAACATGTCCCTAAATAATAGTCCCTAGCTACGGGTACATAAGAATAAATTACGCTTAAGTAAGGCTCAATTTGAACTTTTACAATTTAACAATATGTATAACAACTAGCTCTTTGTTGTTACATAATTCACGGAAAGAGCAAAGTGGAGCGTTGTTTAAATTCTTTGTTGCCGCTGAAAAGCTTACACTCAATTGTCAACTTGATTAATTGTTTTTATTACAAACAATGGTTCAACACATAGGCTCAATCAATATGGGTCCTTTGTTTATTTATAAAGCAATGTTATTTGTTGCTAAAGCTTTCTTTGTACAATAATTGTATCAGTTCCGCATTCACTAGAAGGATATGACGTAATAATGGCATGGGGTTAAATTATGTTATACCCATCGATCACTAATAAAAAATAGTGATCGATGGTTATACCATTAGGAGGTGGTAGGAACTCTCTTGTATGGTGCGTGTAGGGAACCGGAGACGCTTCTTGCTGGAGACGAGGTATTCCATCTTAGTTCTCAGAGGTGACAAGTGACAACGCATCTGCATTTTGATTTGTAATCGAAGATAGATGATCATGTCTATGGGCTACGGTATCCAGCGTCAAACGGTAGCTAGTGCTGCTGTGTTTCGTATGGCGAGTGTAGGAGCTGGAGGCGCTTTTTGCTGGAAACAAGACATTCAATCTTAGTAGTACTCGTGGGTGACAAAGCAGTTGCATTGTGATTCTTAATTGAGGATAGATGTAGGTGTCTATGGGTCATACGAGGACGGCACTGAAAATTTCGGGAATCAAGGAAGTGACACAACATTACTATTTAAAAATGTATTTATTGCTTTTCGAAGTATTCTCCGCGAAATTTCACACATTTTTCCATACGATGGAACCAATCATTAAAGCAACCATTCCATTCGGAAGTTGGGGTCTCCAAAATGGCCGTTTTGCAGGCGTCCACAGCTTCTTCAGGTGATGAAAATCTCTGTCCACGCAATTTATTCTTTATTTTAGGTAAATAATAGAAATCATTAGGGCTTAGGTCGGGGCTGTACGGCGGATGGTCTAATAATTCTATGTTTTCTTGCTCTAAAAACTTTTGTTCTGTGTGCGGTGTGAGAACTCGCATTGTCGTGATGGAGGATGATGCGGCGGTTGCAGTTCTCTTTACGGAGTGCAGAAACGACCTGTGGCAAACAAATACTAGCATACCATTCTGCATTAACCGTTCTTTGTCCCTCAAGAGGAATAGTCGTAACAAGGTTTAAGTTTTAGGTTTTGGAGAATAACGTGGCTACCATTTTTTTTTGCAACACTCCGTGAACGGACAAATTTTGTTGGCTTTAACTCATTCCCAAACTCGTGACTGGTTTTTTGTTTCGGGTTCGTACGCGTATATTCAGGATTCGTCACCTGATACGATGTTGTATACAGCGTTTGAGGATCCTGCGTGGAATCTTTCGAGAGTTCTGACGCACCAAGTAACGCGAGCCGCTTTTTGCTCTTCACAGAGCGAATGCGGTATCCATCGGGAAAACAACTTTTTTACACCTAATTGTTCATGCAAGATTATTTGTATTTGACTCATGACAATGTCTAAAGTTGCCTGAATTTCGCGGTATGTCACATGTCGATCTTTCTCAATCAGCTTACGCACAGCATCAACGTTTTCTTGGGTGACTGCAGTTTTTGGACGACCTTGACGGGGATCATCACTGAGCTTGACACGTCCACGTTGAAATTCAGCAAACCAGCGATAAATTGTGGTTTTGGACGGGGTTTCATCACCAAATGCAGAAATCATCTGGTCAATACACTGTTTTTGTGTTGTACCACTTCGAAAGTCATAATAAATCATCGCTCTTGAATTTTCTCGAGTCAATTCCATTTTCTCAACGACTAAACAAGTTTGACAAAACCTTGTGACAAGACCGAGAATCTTTTTTTAAATAAATAAATGGTATTCGATTTTTAAAACCAAGGAGTTTTCAATTAAAGAGATTTTAATATGACAGGAACAGTGGAAATATTCCATTCCCGATACTTTTAGTCCAGCCTAGGTAGCATTCATTTACAACAGGTTGGACTGTGTGCTCGTTATTCACTCTTTTTCTATTAAAAAGCACAACTGGGTTGGAACTTCCTTCTTACGTATTTCTGTCGTCAAATAGCGGTGCTTACATTGTTGTTTCATTCCGAAGGATATTATTGAGTCAGTATAACTGACAGTGCGGCATTCCGTGTTGGTCTTTTTTTATAGATTGGGTAAACACACCAACACTAGCCGCCGTTTCACGATGGTATTCTGTGAGAGCGTAATCATGTGGTGGTATTGTTGTAGCACGAATGGGCCGGCTCGACCGGGAAAGGACCACGTTCTCACGGAATACCAGCGTAAAATAGCAGCTTAACGCTGCTGTGTTGCGTATGGTGAGTGTGGAGAACCGAATACATGTTTTACTGGAAATCGTCGTACATCGAGAATGTTTGAGGGTCGAACATTCTGTACTTTTTTATCTTTTAAATTCAAAATGCTTGATAATACATTATTTTAATTGATTTTACGGTGCACGTACGCATTCGTAAGAGTAAGGGTCGATCGGTAGGCAAACACGTTGTTTCCCATCAATCACATTCAATTTGGGATAATTTCAAATAAAAATGAAAGCCTTATATACTCGTAAAAACTGTAATAACGGTACATCATTATTTATTTGTATTCTTTGAACTAAAGTGTAAAATTTGGCTTTTTTTGAAAAATAACCCCGACTAACTTAATCACCTATTTTTGTATTATATTGTTTATTATATTTTTATAACAAAAATAGATGATTAAGTCTTGGAATAGCCAGAAATTTTCGTGGTTTCCGATAGGAGTTGAATAGCGGGGAATGGCATAAGGCATTAAAGTGCATCCTTTATATTCCTTATCATGCAGTGTACACCGTAGCCGTTACAGCTTAATATTAAAGCCCACTGCTGCGCACAGGGCTCCCCCATAGATAGCCCCATAGAGCGGATATTTGTCACGTTGCCGCGCTGGGTTGCGTTGACGACTGCGGTTTTTTTGTTATTAGTCGTAGGAAGACACTGCTGACTGATTGGTTTCGCTGCCGCGTCTCGCGACACCCAGTAGTGGATGTTCTTACACCGCCACTGCACAGTAACGCTACATATTTTGTGCGTTTGTCAGACGGGAGCGCTGGAGGGGCAGCACTTCCGCAGCAGCGGCTACCTGGTGTCTCTCTCGGAACAGAACCTCATCGATTGCTCCGCGCCCTACGGAAACAACGGCTGCAATGGCGGCCTCATGGACAACGCCTTCAAGTACATCAAGGACAACCGCGGAATCGACACTGAGCAGACCTATCCGTACGAGGCCGTCGACGATAAGTGCAGGTGATCACTTTATACACACGTTTGCGTATCATCCATCCCTTTTGAGCAGTTGTGCCCCGGGCACAAACCACACTATGAAGCCTATATTCAGATATAATTTCGAGTTTAAACACAAACTCCACAATGACAAAAGAGCCTAGAGTCCAAACCAAATTTGTGTAAAATTTCGAATCATTGGGAGGTTCACATTTAAACCACTTAAGTTTATTTCTTAATACACAGTTTATTGTTCGACGCTGTAGTAGAGAGGGTAGATACAACTTCAATCAGAGTGAAGAGTTTGTGAGAATCCTCTGATAAGATCTCCAGACCGAATATTAGTCACGGCGGTCAATCTGAATGGAAAGCAAATTGCGCAGGACAGGTTCATAGTGCATGCGCATCCAGTGTATGCGCACTCTCATGGTCTGATACGACGGTGAGCCGACACGACCTGAGAGAGATCAGGCGCAGGAACACAACGGCGTTGCGTGCTCGCCGAGGCACGGTGATGTAACACCGCCAATTTCGTCAGAAAAATCATACAAAACACAGCAGCATTAAGCTGCTATTTTACGCTGGTATTCTGTGAGATATTCCTTCTCCGGCCGGGCCGACCCATTCGTGCTAAAAGCATAAAGCTGCAGCATGGACCTACTAGGTAAATAACAATTAATGTAAGTATTTTGTGCATTTTAGTTCAGGCTCAATTTATCTCAAATATTTTAGTAATCGTGTGTGATGGAGTGGAGTGGATTCGGTTTTTATGCATTTACAAGCGGTATTTTAGTATTGAAACTAGTGAATAATAAAGCTATTAATATGACTTATGTTCGATGGAAATTCTAAGAGGAAAATGCATTGCGAACAAACTTAACAAAAAATTTAATGTTATTGTTATGTTATTTTCTTAGGAATTGGATGATAACATTTTTATTCATGGTACTAGCGGCGCACCCCGGCTGCGCTTTAAAACAATTTAGCCCTGTGCTGTTATTATATAATTTTATCTTTTTTTTAAATCACCTAGTTTTACATTAAGAGAATTTAGATAAAATTAATCTAGATCACTCCTGGCATTGCTTTTATCTTTTCTTAAAGTTTCATCACAATTGAATCGGCCATTTCGAAGATCAGCCCGGAGACAAAAAAATAAAAGTGGTTGTGTGTGTCAAACAGCATGCAATACTCGTATAACCCCTGAGCTTAACAGAAGCAATTCAATATTACACACGAACACTTCAATGTTATTTATATGCATAGGTAACAGGTATATTGATTAATTTCTTAGCTTATGATTAAAAACGTTCAATTATTTCAACAAATATTTTGTGTTTTGTTATTTTTATCAATACTTAATATTTTAACCAGTAAACAGTCATCATTAATGGAATATTATTGTTTATTTTGTACTTTTGTGATGTCCATTACACCACCCCGTATGGTCCCGTGCTTGTCGTAAGAGGCGCCAGATGGAAACTGACACAGATGTTCAGCAGCATCGTCCTGATAGCAAATCAATATAACAAAAAAACTGTGGTTGGCTATCCGTTTGACAAGCGCGGTAACTATGGCAAAAAATCTACGGCAGGCCAACGTTCAGCCTGTGTCCATCTAAAATAATATACCTTTGAAATGGTGAAATTTTTTTATCAATCATAAATATTATGTTATAGATTTTGAGACTATACTGAAAATAGACCAAAAGACTATTGAGGGCACTAGTTATAAATTAAATGATTAAGACAATTATCCAATGAGCAGTTAATATTTAATATGTCAGTAGATAGTATTTGTGAGACTGGTCCTTGCGTAACCAGATACAACCCGAAGAACGCTGGCGCAGATGATGTTGGCTTCGTGGACATCCCTCAGGGAGATGAGGAGAAGTTGATGCAGGCTGTGGCCACGGTGGGCCCCGTGTCTGTCGCTATTGACGCCTCGCAAGAGTCCTTCCAGTTCTACTCGGACGGTGTCTACTACGACGAGAACTGCTCCTCCTCCAACCTCGACCACGGGGTAAGTACTCGCGTTAGCTAAATAATTTACTCACAAACTACCATATAACAATTATATATACTATGAATCAGTAGTTCTGGAAGTTGTGGTAGCTAAAGGCCGATTTACACTTCGATAAGTACACAAAGAGTCAATTTGCGAACTTGGCAAGTTAAGAGATAAATATCTCACTTGAATGGCAATTAGTGAGTTAAGTAACAAATTAACAATTAAGTTGAACGGGATAGCCGACCGGTTTATTTTTCTGCGAGTTAAGTTCAACCTCGCTAAGTAAACTTGCCGCTCGTGTCAACAAGTGACTTTAGTTCAGTGTATAAGTTGACAGGACACAAATAATAGTCTAAATATTCACCTTTTTCATAGGGTGCAAGCAATTCTTATTCGAATTCATCTTCATTAGCTTTTAAAGGTCTCTGCGGGACCAGACTTCTCCAGGGAGTAGCATCAGCTCCCCGCCTCCGGTCTGGGTATTTTACTTCTGGTTGTAAACGAGATGGTTATATTGTCATCTATGAAAGCCATGGAGATCCTTTAAGCCACCACGAGACGAAAGGGGTTATGGATCCTCTTCTCTGCCGCCAATTGCTCGTATCTGGCGCAGTGGGTACGGTGTGTAAAGTGTCGTTACGTCGAGAATGTAAAATAAGTTAATATAATATGCTATAAAATCCGTAAAAAGTAGTTGTAATGTAAATATCCGCAGGTGCTGGTGGTGGGGTACGGCACGGACGAGGACGGCGGCGACTACTGGCTGGTGAAGAACTCGTGGGGCCGCTCGTGGGGCGCGCTGGGCTACATCAAGATGGCGCGCAACCGCGACAACCACTGCGGCATCGCCTCCTCTGCTTCCTACCCGCTGGTCTAGCCGCAGCTGCCCGGCCTGCTCGGAGCAAGTCCCTCGTCACTCAATATATCCTAACTGATCCCACAGACTTGCAAAAATATACATAACAAATGTACAAAGTTCATAAAAAAATACTAAAAATAATAAGTTTAAGTTGCTAATTCATTAAATTTTCCATGTCAATGGTTGCCGTAAAAAAATACGTTATTTAAAGTTACCTTGAAAATACGATTGTACATTTGATTAGGTATATAATTTCCCCATAAATCTTATAATACTTAGTACATTTCATATCAAAGTACAGACCGCAGAAAAACTGCAGCTTAGATAAATAACCAAAATTTTTCAATATTTGTACTGTATATATCATATTTGTAAGCTTTAGATTAAGGTATCATTTTGATATAGAAATGTTTGCTTGCTTTAAAGTAAAAAAATCTTCTTAGTAATATCGGTGATTATTTTAACATATTGTGTCTAAAGGAAGAATAAACATGTGATTATATTTAAACTAAAATACCTAATAAAAATACAAAACATCTATAATTTTTTTATAATGGACATTAGTTAAATAAGCCATGACAATTAATACTGTATATTTACTTCTCTAAATCTAAAAATCTGTTTAACAGTTACATTCCATGATTTTTGTTAAACAAGTATTAAAGAAGTAAGTTTAGTTAAAATTATTTAAGATTATTTTTAAGCAAAAAAATTTTGTTTTGTAATTTAAGTTGCTGATGTGATAAATAAAAACTTTTAAGATAGTATAATTATAAAGTATGTAAGGGTTATTAATAAAAATATATTTTTGAAGTTTTGATATTTTATTAACCCTAAAAATTGATGTTGCCAGATAGAAAACATATTTATGAGGAAAACTACATTTACTTAAATCTTAACAGCTTAACTATCTCATTCATACACCTTACAGTCAAATATAACTGAACTTTTTAAGATATGAATTTAATGAGTAGCAGGCAGTTTCAATATACTTTATGTTGTATCTATTTCAATTTGCGTGCGATACCATTAAAGGATATCGTCGCAATTATTAATATTTAAATGTACTACAATTTATAAAGGTTTTTTTACTATCAATTATTATATTATAAATAATAATTGACAGCCTAATTAAGTTTGCTTTGACTGGGAAACCATTCAAGAACATTACCCACCTCAGGAAGTCTAGTACAAAGCTATATAGGAAGTCTAGTACAAAGCTATAGCTAAACCTAATTTAAATCTCAGTTTATTATAAGTGTATCACATAATTAACAAAGGTTACTAAAGTTTTCAAACAAAAGTCATCTTGCAAACCACACTCTTCTCTTATCACACAATTTCTCACCTGTCATTCAGATTCAGCCCTAACATACTCCTTAATGACCGCTTGTAAATTGTAGTACATTTAAATATTAATAATTGCGAAGATATCCTTTAATGGAATCGCACGTAAATTGAAATAGATACATATAGTATTTGAAACTGCCTGCTACTCATTAACTTCATATCTTATATTCATTTGCTATATCTTATTACGTTAAACATGCACCGCTAAACTATACTCGTCGAGGTTACCGACCTAAATAAAATCTATCAATGTCTAAGTGCCAATGGGCGACTAATGGAAAGACAGGGAAGCTCTGACGGACGGCAAAACAACCGTCACAAAAATCATATATTAGGAGTTTCTACTGTATCGTTAAGGAGATCAACATAACAAAGACTATTTTCGTACATTTTGCGTCGTGGAGCCAGCAGAGTAGCGGCAGCTACCATCCACATCATCTGGACGCTTGGCGCTCCACTACTTGTTATACATAATTGAATTGTTTACTTAAATGTTAAATTTATTTTTTTATGTTAACTGCCTCCACAATATAATTAGGAAACATTCTTAGTGTGGAGGTAAGGTATAAAAAGAAACAAAAAAAGATATGAGCCATGGTAGCTCAAAGGTGAAGTACTCGCCGTAAACGCAAGCAACCTGGGTTCGATCCCTGCCGACACCAATGAAATTGTTATTTAGATAAATTATCTTTACATTATGAAACAGAATAAATGTATATCAAACGAAATCTATTTAATATAATAAAAATATTTTTCAATTCGAACATATGTTACTTACCCATTTCTAGTTGTTAATTTGGCGTTATAACATTCCTTATTCTACTCAATAGAGTATAAAAGAAAAGCCGACTTCAATTTACTAAAAAAATAAAATAATTTATACATATTAGCTTCCGATTTCTACACGTTATGTGTTAGCTCCGACCTCATAGGCCATTATGTGGAAATTATATTATTCTTTTAGTTCCAATAGTATCAAGTAGGTTCGTGCTAGATACAAAAATCTTTGGGTACAAGTACAACTAGTAACTAGTAGTAGTAGTTTGCCGTGTAGTGGCGGTTGAAAATATCCACTACCCCATATCTTCCCGTGGGTGTCGTAAGAGGCGACAGAGGGAGACAGGCAGGAGATGGGCAGCAGCATCTTCCTAATAACAACTATGACAATAAAAAACTGCGGTTGCCAACCCGCTCGCCAAGCGTGGCAACTATGGAAAATATCCCCCCATGTGCAACGACGCAAATAAACGGCCCCGCTACTCCTGGCTACGGTGGCGACCATGGTAACGGCGGGGCAGGGGGTGCTAAGAATCTCCGGTGGAGGTTCGGTTGCCACCTACGACGACTCGACCTGGCAACGTATAACGCACGCACCCTGAGGACTGACGAGAAGATACTGGAGCTGGAAGAAGAGGTAGACAAGTTGCGCTGGCATATTATTGGATTATCTGAGGTCCGAAGAGAGGGGGAGGACACGGTAATCCTCGATTCCGGCAACTTGTTCTATCACCGGGAGGGCGACCATCTGTCCCAAGGAGGTGTCGGATTTATCGTCCACAAGTCTCTCGTCAACAACGTGGTAAAGATTGGGAGTGTGTCGACGAGGGTCGCGTACCTGATACTCAGAATCACCAAACGGTATTCGCTGAAGGTCATACAGGTCTACGCACCAACCTCGGCACATCCCGATGAGGAGGTGGAGGAAATGTATGAGGATATTTCTAGAGTCATGCATTCCTTCAAAACCCACTACACGGTGTTGATGGGAGACTTCAACGCAAAACTAGGCACAAGAGAAAGCGGTGAGCTGAAGGTAGGGAAATTTGGAGTAGGGCAACGGAACCGAAGGGGCCAGCAGCTGGCCGACTTTATGGAGAAAGAGGGACTCTTTATGATGAACTCTTTCTTCCAGAAGCGGCCCCACAGGAAGTGGACCTGGTCGAGCCCCGACGGTTCGACAAAAAATGAGATTGACTTCATTATGACGACCAGACGCCAACTGTTCAGTGATGTCTCAGTGATCACAAGGGTGAAAACCGGCAGCGATCACCGAATGGTTAGAGGCACATTGAACCTAAACGTTAAGTTGGAGAGGTCTCGTCTAATGAAGTCAACGCTCCGTCCCCCTCGTGCTCTAATCCAGAATGCCGAATCTTTTCAGCTCGAGTTACGTAACCGCTTTCAGTGCCTAGAAGATTGCAATGCAGTGGACGATATGAATGACAAGCTCATGGAAACTGTCCATGCGGTCGGAGCTAAGTTCTGCAATACCCGCCGCAGAAGAACACAAAACTCTGCGATCACACTCTTAATCTCATGGCTGTTAGACGGGAGATGAGGCTGCAATCGTCAACAGATTTGACAGCGTACAGGCAACTGAACAGACAGATCTCCAAATGCATGCGGCGAGACTTACGCAACTTTAATACTGCTCGTATTAAAGAAGCGATCGAGCGGAACCAGGGCTCCAAAGTCTTTTCCAGAGATCTGTCTGCCAGAAAGAGCCAACTGTCAAAGCTGAAGACTGAGTGTGGCAGCATCGTTTCCGAGACACCTGAGATTTTGAGTGAGATTGAGAGGTTCTATGGGCAGCTGTACACATCATCGTTGGAGCCACACGCAAGTGTGAGTAACGATCCAAGAGCAAGTCTTACCCGACACTATTCCGATGATATCCCGGACGTCAGTCTGAGCGAGATTAGAATGGCTATCCAGCACCTTAAAAACGGCAGGGCCCCAGGCGAGGATGGAATTACAGCGGAGCTTCTGAAAGCGGGTGGAACACCGGTACTTGAAGTCCTTCAGAAGCTCTTCAATTCCGTCCTCCATGGTGGCACTACTCCGGAGGCGTGGAGCAGAAGTGCGGTGGTCTTGTTCTTTAAGAAAGGCGACAACGCTCTCTTGAAGAACTACAGACCGATTTCCCTTCTGAGCCGCGTCTACGTGCTGTTTTCGAGAGTCATTACGAATCGTCTCGCACGCAGACTCGACGACTTCCAGCCTCCCGAACAAGCCGGTTTCCCGAACAAGCCGGTCAAACTGAAAGATCACATACATACCCTGCGGCAGATTGTACAGAAGACCGAGGAGTACAGTCTGCCACTTTGCCTGGCGTATGTGGACTATGAGAAAGCCTTTGATTCCGTCGAAATTTGGGCGGTGCTACAGTCCCCTCAGCGGTGCCAAGTTGACTGTCGGTATATCGAAGTGCTGAAGTGTTTGTACAGTAGGGCTACGATGGCTATCCGAGTACAGAACCAGAGTTCGAAGCGTATCCAACTGCAGAGAGGTGTAAGACAGGGTGACGTTATATCCCCGAAACTCTTCACCGCTGCGTTGGAAGACGTTTTCAAGCTATTGGACTGGAAAGGATACGGTATTAACATCAATGGCGAGTACATCACTCACCTTCGATTTGCCGACGATATAGTCCTTATGGCAGAATCGCTGGAGGATCTTAGCACTATGCTCCATGACCTCAATGGTGTCTCCCAACAGATAGGTCTTAAGATGAACATGGACAAAACAAAGATCATGTTTAATGTCCATGTCACACCTATGCCGGTAGTTGTTGGGAGCACTATGCTCGAAGTTGTTGACGAGTACGTTTACCTGGGACAAATAGTCCCGACTAGGTAAGTCCAACTTCGACCGAGAGATCAATCGAC